TATATATATATACTTACTTTGACTTTTACACTGTTGTAAATAATCTTTTATCAAGATAAATATTTTTGATATGATAATATATTAACTATAAAATATCGCGCGAGCTGATTGAGTTTTAGTGTACGTATTAATAGAGGTTATTAGATGAAATCGAAATATATAGTGTCAAATGCATAACCGATACCGAACTGATATCCTCTTACACATATAACAGCGACACTAATTTGTTACCTTTCAGGTGCATATCAGATATACGTAAGCAAATTGAAATTAAATTTGCTTTCATCATTTCGTGTAAAATACATATCCGATATATGTCAATTGAAATTGAAATTATGTTACGTTTCTGCAACGGAAATTATATTCGGACGTGCTGTATGGGTTGTAGTCTTAAATTAATATTTATAATTTTATTTACCACGATAGTCCTTTCAAATCTTGAAGAAGGCTTGAGATCAGATGCAGCGCGGCGTATAGGAACGACGTAGGATGACCTAGTACAGAAAAATCAATAAAGCTACAAAAAATATAATTTCAGTAAGATGCGCTCCGTGATCTCTCATGATGCGCACGATGCATAAGTTGTCCTTGTTTAACATTTGGTAAGCAACAAAGATAAACAATGCATCAAGGCTGCGTTCGGAAACATCACTCGAGTGCCCCAGTGTTTCGTCTTATCCTCGTTTAACATGGGTGAACAACAAGGATAAGACGATGCATAGTCAATCTGTCAGTAAGAATTACTACTTGCAGTCTTAAATTAATATTTATAATTTTATTTACCACGATAGTCCTTTCAAATCTTGAAGAAGGCTTGAGATCAGATGCAGCGCGGCGTATAGGAACAACGTAGGATGACCTAGTACAGAAAAATCAATAAAGCTACAAAAAATATAATTTCAGTAATATGCGCTCCGTGATCTCTCATGATGCGCACGATGCATAAGTTGTCCTTGTTTAACATTTGGTGAGCAACAAAGATAAACAATGCATCAAGGCTGCGTTTGGAAACATCACTCGAGTGCCCCAGTGTTTCGTCTTAGCCTCGTTTAACATGGGTGAACAACAAGGATAAGACGATGCACCCCCCCGCAGCCGCCGCTTACGTTCTCAATTGTGATTGGTCAATTCGCTTACTGATTACGTTTACGGTCTTACGCTTTTCTATGTGCCATGGGCTTAAGCGAAAGCACTACATTTTAATTTATCTACTTGCGTTGCGGAATCGTTTTGCAACAAAGATCACATTCCGACTTTACATAGTAAGGTAAATATGAAATCACAAGTATCTCTCCATATATATACATATATATGTATATCTATACGTGACACACGTGTATCCATGTTCACAATGTAATAAGTTAATAACCTCAATTCACCTTATTTTCTTTTGTTTGTCAATTATACATAATTTTTTATATATTTGATATATTTTTTATTCACAGATTGTTAACGGAGATTTGAAAAAATACAGTCAGCATAGGTATCGCGTATTGTTGCACGAGTATCAAGAATTTTAGCATCTCACGTAGAATAATACATAAACTTCTCTACACAGCAGCATCAGAGGCAAAATATTAATCGCTTTTATGAGAAAGCGAATTTTCCTCGCGTAATTGGAGTATCGATTGCATACATACCCAGATAGCCAAACCTGCCAAAAGCACGCATTGCTAATTTATGCTATATTATTATAATGGCAAAAATCGAGCAACAGTCGAACACGGTTTACCATTTCAGTATAGCGCTGACAGAAATATAGCAAAAATAAAGCAGACCTGCGTCATAATTCACTAGCAAAAATTCTGTAAAATTTATCAAACGTTACCGAAATAAAGCAAGCAGAATTCGAGCATTACATGCTGGCAAAATAAATTAACAAAAAATAGATGAAAACTTGATATAAAACATGACTACATGTTAAATCAGCAAAATCTTGTTAAAAATCTGGCACACTTATTGTCATATTATGACAGCAAAAAGGCGGCAAAAACACTGCACGATCTGACATAATTAAGTACTGACAGCAAAATCGCAGCAAAAATCGAGCACGCAGCCTGCCGTCACGACGTAACGGCAGGCTGTCAATACTTGATTATGTCAGATCATATTGTATTTTTACCGCGTTTTCGCTGTCACGATGTGATAGCAAATAATGATTGATTTTTGTTGTTTATTTCTATCGTTGTGTTAAGTTGGCAGGATAAGCTGTTAGAAACTGAGCTTAATGAGGAAGCAGCAGCTTGATATCTGCTGCACGTCATGATCAAGTTTGCTGGCATACTGCTGGCATACTCCTAGCATTTTGCTATCTGGGTATATGTATTGTTAATCCTGGAGGAAATAATGGAAAGGTATTTCGAAATCGAAAATGCTGGTTTTCATTAAATATGCAAGTATATTATTCAATAGTACTGTTTTTAATATGGAGAAACAGAAAGAAATCAGTTTTAAAATATAAATTAAATATTATGTTTGTATTATAGGTTGTATCTGGACCTCGTAGAAAAATATTGGACATCGTTGTAAGACATCCTGGTTCAGCGCATGATTCTTTAATCTTTGATCGAAGCGGTGTTCGATGTCGTTTCGAATTGGATATTCTTAATGGAATTTTACTTGGAGATAGTGGATACCCATGTCGAAAATATTTAATAACTCCTGTTTTGAGACCTAATAATGATGCAGAAATTAGATATAATGCTCATAGGAAAACTAGAGTTACCGTTGAACAATTATTTGGCAAATGGAAACGACGCTTTCCATACTTATATTATGGTTTAAGAACGAAATTAAGTACATTGGTTGCAATTATCTGTGCTACTGCTGTATTATATAATATATGTATCCAGCACGGTATTCCACCGTTAGAGAAAATTGAAGAAGAATATATACAAGATGGAGTATTTGAGGCTGTTTTTAATCAAGAAGATGGCATTGGGATTATACATAGAAGATCTGTACATATGTTTTGAATATTAATATTAACTCTTTTAAAATAAGCAATAAACGTAATTTGTCTACAAGTTCTAATTAAATGTAATAACGTGATTATAAAATTTACGCAATAAAATCTTGAAATAACTGGAAATAACTTTTTCCAAACGGTATTAATATTAATAGGAATGCAAATTATGCCAAAGTAACTATATAACAGACTTCAATTAGAAATTGAAGTACACAATATCACATTGAAAAATATACTATTGTTGAAAAAATATTGTTAGATAATAACAATATTTATAATAATACTGACTTCAGTAACATTGTATTATAAAAAATATAGACATATTCTTTAAATAATAATCGATTACGTAAAACTGATTTAAAATCTATAAATATATCGGGAATATATATATATTATTGAGCATGTTATACATACGCACATTACCTAGCGCGCCGGCTGACGCACGGTCCCTGCGGGAGCCCGCGCGCCGCGGAGGTGCGCGCGCCGCGGAAGAATTAATTTTTTTCTAATAGTGCCCATAAAGATACCATTCTGGAAAAATATGTTTTTTTCAGGAAATGACGAGGAATTCAATGGAATTTTCTTTCAACTCACCAAACCTGGTTCATCAATGTCAAAATTCATTTTGAAACATTAATTTGTAATTTACACCGCTATTTTTGCAAATTCACTAATTGAAAAAATAAGCATTAGAAAGCTGACGTTTTCTACTTCAAAATGAAAAAAAATTCGTTCCATTT